GAAGCTCCCCCAGGCATACAGATAGGAGGGACCCAGATTAGAACCTGGACATTCTGACTTCACCCCCAGAGTCCTCTGAAGAAGTGTCCAGTAGCCTTGTCCATGCCATCAGAGGCCCCAGGATGGCTCTGCTTATAGGGGAACCAAAGCAAAACACCAGGCTGGGCCTTCCCAATCAGGGAAAAAGCCCCTTGGGCAATGTGTCCAGGGCCCTGCTCCACCCTGTTCTCAGACACAGCTGCTCTACCTTGGCCAAGCACCCAGTCTCAGGGCCTGCTGCTGGCACTCCCCCAAATCAGCCCAGAAAGGAGTCTGCCAGCAGCGTCTGTGACTGGCACCTGCCCCTCTCCGGAGGGCGCCGTCATGTTTCGCTCCTGCTGTCCTGCTCCACCAGCAGACGGAATTACCACGGCTTTCAGGCTGCCAGTCCACAGAGCCAAGAAATACCATGCTCAGTGACGTGGCCCATCCACCCAGAGCCCCCGCCAGGCCCAAGCCGGCTCCCGCTCTCCTGCCGCGTCAGGCTTCGGCGGCAGGAATCACACTCTCTGGCTCTTCCTGCCAGCAAGGGCGAGAGGATCTCCCGCCTCTACTGAGCCGCCTGTTCTGAGCTTTCAGCAGTAGCAGACCCTCTACCGTGGCAGCCTGCAGCAGAGCAAACGAGGTGCCAAACCCAGAACAATCTGTGCTCATCTGCCGAGTCCCAAATGGAACCGAGCCCAAGAAGCACTTTTTTTTTTTTTTTAACTGAATGGTATCCTCAAACCAATTTTTCTCCCAACCTGATCTGAGCTTGATTATTCTCTAAAATGACTGAATCGGAAGCAAGCATTTATCAGGACAAACAAACCCATGTTGAACATCTCTAACGTACCAGGCACCTGTGTGGTTTGTTTTCTGGCTTTTGCTGTGCAAGAAAGGCCTTATTAGCCTCATTTTACAGATGAGAAAACTAAGGATCAGGGAGGGAAGAACCTTGCCCAGGCCCCGCAGACTGGGAATGGCAAATTCAAGGCTCAAACTGCTCGTGTGACACTGGACAGGGCACAGTTCACCTGCAGGCTCCAGTCCCCAGAGGCTACCCGTCCACCCCACTCTCACTCAACACTGGGCCTTTGGGGCCTTTCAGTTCCTGAGCACCTGATACCAGCAGCAACTTCTCCACCAGCTGAATGAAACAGGGACCCACGGATTCAGTCTGCCTCCGCATATATTTTTATGCCTAGATGAGTATTTTAGAAAGGATCAAGACTTCTGTACTTCCTGGTTCTCCAACTGTTTGAGAAAATCAGACTAGTTTTGATACAGAGTTCTTTAAAGACTAGAATATACACTTGGGGTTCAGGAGACTGGGGTGATTCCTTCTGATGTGAGGACCAGGATTTCCTCCAGGTCCTTGGATACATCTCCAGTAGGTGGGAGTACATCTGGGACGGGAGTAATGATTGACCGAGATGGGATGGACGGACAGATGGATGGAAGGATGGATGAGCAAATGGGTGGGTGGATGGATGGCTTTTAAAATGTCCTTTTGGCTCCAAAGACTCAAAACTAGGTCCAAAACACAAATCTTCTTCAACCAGTTATCACTCGCACACGTTGCATTTCCGTGACGGCATTTGTAAGATTTCTATTTACCTCTTGAAACACGAGGATGTGGGGGGGTTCTCTATTCATTCTGATCATGCTCGTTTAGCCTTTTACAAAAACCATATCCAAGGTAACGGCCCCACACTCAGGACGGCTTGCAGGCTACTCCTCTGAGTTCCAAACCACAAAATAGGGGCCGACATGCTCAAGAAATCTGCACAAGTGCTCCGGCGATCCTGGAGGTGGGAAGTTTTGATGATTGTGTCTCCTGGGCTGACTGTGCTGGAGTAGCTTTTACCTCAGCATAATGGGTTCTGCAGGTATTAGGCAAAGCTAAGTAGCAGCCAAGACAGCCAGCTGCTGTTCTAGAGGCTTCTGCCTATCAACTGCGGCCACACCCAGGCAGCACCAAAAGGAGATGAGGAAAACCCTGCAAGTACCTGGGGGCCAGGCTGAGCCCCAGGGTTCAGCGAAGGGATCAGAGCCTGGGAGGCGGGCACGGTGGTGACTTCACCTGACCGAGAATGGGACCCGCACGGAAGGAGGGTATGAAACGAGAGCAAGAGAGAAGCCAGAGGCTATCTGGTCACTCTGAGAAACAGCTCCAAGCCACTGAGGCTAGATCCAGATCCCAGGAGGAAAGCTCTGTAGAGGAGACTCCAAAGCTCTCCCCCCAATTCCTGAAGTTTCTAAACGTGTGACAGGCTAGGTGTGAGCAAGAGGAAACAAACTAGCAGGCCCTGGAGGAGTGCCTCCTCCCGGCCCAGTGCACAACTTCCTCTGCTTTGCATGCTCAGGGAATCCCCAAGACGCCGCCTGGCAAGCCGGCCCACACCCTGAGTCTCTGGGACAGGCCATCAAGTCACACAGCCTCCTGCAAAAGGGCAGGAGCTGCTAGGAGGGAAATCACATATTTAGGAAAACTCTTGGCTCCAAATGTGGGCCCCCTTTTAGTAAAAGGCCATTCTCCACTCTGAGATAGGGGGCAGCTTGAGGGTTTGGGGTGGAGGCAGGGGGGATAACCTAATGGAAAGGCATCTGAACTCTGATCCTGGGCACCCAGATAGGGCAGAGGCCACGGAAAATGGCTGGGAGAGACAGAGTCCAGCCTCAGCCCCCCTGCCATCTCACGCCAACAGGCATGTCCCTGTTGATAAAGCCCTCCCTGAACCTCGTTTCATTTGAGTCTCAAAATCACCCCCTTGGCCCTTTTATAGATGAGGAAACTGAGAACCAGAGCAGCTTGGAAGTGGCAGAATCGGGACTGCGGTCCAGGGCTTGTGCTCCATGGCCCATGCTTTGGAAGCTATGTAGGGAGGCAGACATGATTTGAATCATGGCTGTGAGGATTACCAGTATATGACGTTGACCAAGACAGATACCTGTCCTGAACCTTACTTTTCTCATCTGTAAGATGGGAATATATTAGACTGAAGTGTATGAAATTGTTATTTGTCATACAGCTCAACATAAAATGCCTCCCTCTATGAGATCATCAGCTTGGAATCTGGCAGAGAAAGGACCTAAGGAATGTTTCGGCTTTCACCTTTTTACCTCCCACCTGTAATCCTCAGCACAGGGAGAGGAATTTCCCCAGACAGGTGACTTAAGTGCAGTTGCAACTGAGGGTGTGGGTGGGGAGATGGCTCAGGTGTGGGGGGAGGGGGGCAGGGAGGGATACTGGTCTATGTCTGAGGTTCCATTATTAGAAACCGGGGCCCAGTCTGTGGTCAGAGTGGGGGCCCATTTTCTGTGAAAAGTGCACTGTTCTCCCGTGAAAATCAAATCTGGCATTCGGTATTTCTATCCTCACCTTAGGCTAACCAGTTAGATGCCCCTCCTTGGAGCAACCACTTTCCCCCTCACCTGCATGACCCTGTAAACCTTTTAGTACCACAGCCTAGCTGAGGAAGGCTATGATCTCTTGCCGCCCCAGTCCAGTGCCCCACATCCTGCCTACGTGCTGGGACCCACTGATGTGGAGGAAACCCACTGACCAAAGCACTCATGGCCCCAGCTATTCAAGGGTACATTCGTTTCCATCTGTTCAGGGACCCAGCTCATGGGGGCTTGTTTCTTAAACTCCTACTTCCACACACTGCTCTCAGATGTGCCAGTTTAGCAAAGTTAGTTCTCAACCTGGGGGGTTCCCAGCTCCCAAGCTCCGAGAGGCCCCTCAGTTAGAGGGCTCAGACCCAGCCTTGGACTCCTCTGTAGCACGCCCCCACCCCTGGCTTCTGTGGCTCCTGCACACCCCTCCCCGCCTCCCCCAGACCAGTCCAGGCCATCCTTCTTACCACTCCCTGGACCACACCCCTCTCCTTCACTGAGCCTCCAGGGCCCATGCGTGCATGTGTGTGCGTACGTACATACATTGGTGCGTGCCTGGCTCATCTCCCCGCCTGCCACGGGGGGAAACGGGTCTTGTGAAAACAGCCAAAGAGCACTTCATGCAGGCTTTGTCCGGCATGCTTTACCCCTCCTCTGCTTTACTTTTCCATAGCACTCAGACACTAGGACCCTGGATAATGTAGTCGCTAATTAATTAATTGTCCACCTCCCTCACTAGAATGTAAGCTCCATGAGGGCAGAGACTTTTCTCCATTTGTTTGCTGCCGTGTTTCCGGCTTCTAGCACAGGCCTGGCACAAAGATGATAATAATGAACCGTTGCGTGAATGAGTGAATTCACTGAGGCTCGGAGGTTTTAGATTTGCCGGTGGCCCTCAGCTAACAGTGGTAGAACTGGAAGCACCTGCCCCTTCCACCCCCTCACATCGGTCCCAGAACCAGCACAGGGCTGCCCAATACACACTGCTGACTCACTGATAAGCATCTTTTATAATCCCAGAAGAGGTGTTGGGGACTCCTAACTCAGTCCCTACTCAGGCCCCCGAAGACAGCCTTGTGCACCAGACCCAAACCTAGGAAGTGAGCCTCACCCCCGTGTGGGGGGCAGATGCAAGAACCTTGCTTCAGGGACATCCATGGGAGGCTGAGCTGGGCCAGGACCTGGCGGCCTGTGCCTGAGGTCCCGCAGCCCTACCCCACCGGGGCAGAGAGGGAAAGGCCTGGAGCTTACCATGGACTCACTGATGAGCAGCAGCAGGAGGGCTTCCTCTATATTATCCTTCGGGCAGTAGAGGCTGAAAGACACAGATGGCAGCACTGGGTCCAGCACAAGCCTCCCCAAGCAGAGCGGCTGGCCCGCCACCCTGGCCCGCCACCCCGGCCCTCCAGCCCCGGAGTCAGCAGCGGCCCTGGTAAGGTGATGCCCTCCTGCATAATTCACAGACACCGGATACTACCTGCAGCTCTTTCTCAAGCCCCAGAGTTCTGGATCTGAAAGGCTGGGGTGAGCGGCGGGGCCAGAAATACTGCAGATGCTCTGGGGGAAGAGATGTCCCTTCCAGGGCCCGGGGCTGCATGACACAGCCAGGACAAGGAGCAGGGGAGAGCCGCTCAGATCCTGTCATCAATTATTTAACAAATAAGAGAGGAGGTATATGCAGACTAGCAGGAAGGCAGGTAACCTCCAAATAATTCGACTTTTGGATGCCTTCTAGAATGCTCCTCCCAGCCCCTATCCCGAGACAGTCTTCCCTGGTCTATTCGGCTCCTGCGGATAACTGAAAAGCCTGCCTGACAGTGAGCTGGGTGGCAGCTGGAGGAAAGTGCAGGGCAGAGGGAGGGGACGTCGGAGCCCCAAGCGTGGCATGAGACCGGCATGGTCCAGCAGAGCTTACTTGTCTCCTTCGTAGAGGTGAGGTTTCCGCAGGGCCTGCGTGATGAAGGAGTTCTCCTCCTTGCTCATGAACTCAGGCAGTGGGTGGGACAGGGGGCTCCAGTAGCACTCCTCACTCAAGGAGTGTAGTAGGACCCCTGCCAGATGCTTGGCCGCCATCTGGCAGAAAGGGAGGAACTCAGACCCACAAAGCCCCCCGCCCACCACCGGGCCAAATCTGCCAGCCCTGCAGTGCACTGCCCCTTCGGAGGCCCACCACTCCACTCCACTCCCAAGGAGCCCCCTGTTCTCTCTGTTTCCAGCACTGAGGCCACCCCACCCCTTCTGTTGGCCTTTGATGGCTTCTACTTAATCTTTTGTCCTCTGTCCTCTCCTAGACGGGAGGTACGTTTCCTCCTCCTCTGGCCCCATGGAGCCCAGCACAGCTCGGAGTATTCAGCAGGCCCTTGCAGAGCGTGAAGCCACTGGACTGGGCACCGCTCTTGACCACATACCTTCCTGATACTTGATCAAAAATTCTAGAGTGAGAAGCAGCTGTGGCTCTGATTTGGGGTGAATTAAAGCCTAAGAAGGTAGGCCTGAATTGGGGCAGGAAAAGGAGTCCAGGTTATTTATTAAAATCATAAATAATCCCTAAGAGTTAGCCTACCACCTTGCTAGGAAGGGATGACATTGGGTTTAAACTCTGATCTAATGCTAGGGGCTCTGTGCAGTGCTGAGGTAGGGATGCTGCGGGTGCTTCCCGGGCTTGGTGGGAGAGAATGCTGAGATCGATTAACAATGTCTGCCATGAGAACAGACAGGGAGAGGAGAAGCGTGCATGCAACATACTGTCATCCCTGATTCAGAGGCTGCCTGCTAGCACTTCTGTCGTTTCCCACTGAAAGTGGCCCCTGTATAAGCCAACCACAGCCAGCACCCAGCCCCGAGGCATCGCTGTGTTACCACTTTGAAGTTCTGAGTTGCTTTGGTCTCCACTGTACGTAGGACCTCCCGAAGCTCTCTCATCCCTTTCACGATGTTCCTAGGGGGAAGACAGCAGAAGCAGGGTCATTCCCAGCTTAGGAATGAATGTCTGATGTTCCCACAGACATCATCATCAAACCTGCAGACTCAAGCAGGAGCCTGCCCATTTGAGTTTTACTTGAAAACACTCAACTGGAATGAAAGGTCAGAGCTGTGACACCAGGATCCTAGAAGCCCAGGACACTGTCGACCAAAGAACAGGAAGGATCCCTCTCCTCCACCAGGAACCTCCCCAGGAACCCTGGCTTCCAGCTCACCACCAGAAGGGGACCAAGATTGAGTATTTCAAACAAGATGTCATTTGGCCCAAAAGCCTTGGCTGGTGTCAGACTGACTTGAATCCGCCTCAAATTTTCCATCTTCCCCCAGCACATCTGGTCAACGCTGGGGTCCATCCTCACCTCTCAGTCCCTGTCACCAGGGCCCCGGACCAGCCTGCATCACCTGGGGCCTGGATAACCACAAGGGCCAGTCACACCTCTTCCCCCAACCCCTGCCAGCCCTCTGGGCCTCGAAATAATTTGCAAGCTTTTTAAAGTGTGACCCAGAATAAAAAAAATACATTTTAGATTGTAACGCAGTATGCACACACTTTCCTTACATAAAACGGAAGCAAGTTTCTTGACACACTACTTAGCTCTACTGTGTGCAGGCCACTCTGGTATTTCCAATTTGACGTCTTGCTCTATTCTTCTTTTTTTTTAAATTCTGGCTGCAGCCCACTAAACAGGTTGCAACCCACTGATGGGTTGTGGCCTGCAGTTTGAAACACTGCTCCATGGACCCTGGAGGGGTCTGTATGCCTGACACACAAACGTCATCTTTTACCACCCCCACCCCCCTCAAGGCTAGCCCCTCTATCAGCACCCCCAGGGCTCACAGAATCCAGTCTAGGTCTTCACAATGGTATCGTGGCGTTGGCGGGTCTGCTCCTCGCCTCTCACCCATCTCGTCTCCCGCCACTCAGGTCCTTTTTGAATAACCAACCATATGACCTATGTCAAGTCTTGTCACAGACTCCTCCCACTGCCTTAAACAGCCCTTCCACATTCATCCTCAGAAAGCCTTTCCAATAACACTTCCTCCTTGCAGCCTTCCCAGACCCCTCCCCACACTCGCCCCTCCAGCCTGCGTCCCTCTTGCTCCCTGTTAATTCCTCTTCTGAAGCATGACCTTGCATGGTCATTTTCCGTTTACGGCCTGACCCTTCGTGCACCGTGCACTCGGAGGGCAGGGCTCCTGTCTGGCTCCCTAAACTCAGCACTAGCACAGCTCCTGGCACACAGCAGGAGCTCAGCAAATGTTTGAGCCCTGCCCTCCTCCTTTGCTCTGGGGGTTCCCTGGATCACAGCTCACAGGGGAAAGCAGAGGCTGCCAGGTCGGCAAATTTAGAAATGAAGACTACAGAGAGGTGAAAAGCCAAAGGTGGCAGCCAGGAAAGTTCCACGTGCCCCTCCTGCATCTTCCATGCACAGAACAGATTCCTGGGGGCTTTGGGGCCTGGAGCCATAAAAGGACAAATAGGCAGACCAAGTCCCCGCCTTCTGGGAACCTCTGGTTTCAGAGAAGAAAGCAAAGATGTGCAAACCACCAACGTTATACACACAGACCCTCGTTTGCAGGGCTGAGAGTGGAGACAAAGACCACAGGGATAGAATCAGAGGCACAATGACCTTTCCCAGTCTGTCCAGAGCTTCAGAAGAACCAGGAGGGGCTAAGAGGCCAGGGAACCACAGGTGTCCTGATAAACAATTCAAGTTTGGGCGCGGCCACTGATGCCACGAAGCCTGAGGACGGGCTCGCCTCCGTGGGCTGTGCACGGTCTCTTCCTCTACCAAGCCAGGCCTTCAGTGTGGACAGCGTCTCCCAGACTTCTGTCATCTGCATCCCACGGTTACAAGTTTTGCTCCTAGCTGCACGCCATCAATGTTTTAATTTTTTTTTTTT